AGGGTTACGAGAATATTTCTCCCAAACTGATGAAAGGGCGGCAGCTCCCCGAATTCCTGTTATGGTCAATATGACATCAGTAGCCACTTCTTCGAAGAGGAGTAAAAAACTCCAGTCATCTTCTGTTCATCAGCGCAGCTCTTCACTTGATCAAATACACGCATCAAATAAAAACGCGATTTTGATGGATGAAGAGTCTGATGAAGACGAAGATCTTCAGTGCACAGATCAAGAGGTTCGGCTATCTTTATGACTCTATAACATTTTTAAGGTTTATACTTATGTTTGGCTTTCTCCTTCTCTTTCATAATTTGAATATGGACTTTTACAGGCTTTGACATCAGCCATCGGGATTGAAGACAAAAAAACTGGTAGATATTCAATTTCATGATTCATTAAAAAAAAGCTGATTTGAAATCTTTTAACTGATGTAAATTGCAATCTATTTGCTATGTTATTTATAAATTTCAGCCTATGAAGAAGAATCTAAAGACCCAATAGATTTGTCCATTTTCTCCGGTAACCTTCGCCGTGACACTCGTGATAAGGGCCGCGACTGTTGGACATTATCTGATGGAAACAACTTCAGAGTTCGAAGCAAACGTTTCTGTTATGACAAATCCAAGGTAACTAATAGTTGGCTTATTTCAGATATATATTCTGATTGCATTTCAAGCAGCCTAAATTTGCTCAATAATCTTATGGACTTTGTGCTTCCTGTTTTTGAAGGTTCCTGCAGGTAAACACCTTATGGATCTTGTCGCTGTAGACTGGTTCAAAGATACAAAAAGAATGGATCATGTTGTCAGAAGAAGTGGATGTGCGGCTCAGGTAAATTCCATAGGGTTCACTTTTCTCGTTTCTGTTTTCAAATATATCAATATTATTTTAATTGTTTCATATAACTAAGGATACTCATAAATTACACTTTCTGTTTCTTTTTTAGGTTGCAGCAGATAAAGGACTTTTCTCTATTGTTTTTAATCTGCAAGTGAGTTGATTACATTACAGCTTTTCATGATAGTTAATTTATCAGGTCGCGTTATGAAGATCAATCAATTTTGACTCTTCTAGGTACCTGGATCAACACACTACAGCATGGTGTTTTATTTTGTAACTAAGGAATTAGTACCAGGGTCTCTCTTGCAGTGGTTTGTTGATGGGGATGATGAGTTCCGTAATAGTAGACTGAAACTTATCCCATCAGTACCGAAGGTACCTTTCTTCTTATCTCTCCCCTTTTGAATAGAAATGTATTGCCCTTATTGTTCTTTGTAGTCAAGTTTCAGATTCGACGGTTTATATTTTTATGAATATGTAGGGTTCTTGGATTGTACGTCAGAGTGTGGGCAGCACCCCTTGTTTATTAGGGAAGGCAGTTGATTGCAACTATATTCGTGGTCCCACATACTTGGAAGTAAGAACTATTTGTACTTCTTTTGATATATACTTAATTATGCAGCAAATTAAGAGTTCGTTAAAGGTCTAATTATTTCGGTTATTGGTGTTTCTTGTTTTTTTTCTGTAGGTAGATGTGGATATTGGTTCCTCAACTGTGGCAAATGGAGTCCTGGGACTCGTTGTTGGGGTTATTACGTCACTTGTGGTGGACATGGCTTTTCTTGTACAGGTATTTAAAATCTCAACTGATGTATTTGCCTAATCTATAATCTCCAGCAAACTAACATACGTTTGTTTGCATAATGGATGAACAATTTTGTTATAGTGCTTATGAAATGGTATAAATTGTTGTTGGTGCTCAGGCTAATGCGACCGATGAGTTGCCGGAGCGGCTAATTGGTGCGGTGAGAGTTTCTCACATAGAATTATCATCTGCTATTGTGCCGGTGCTGGAATCTGATTCTTCAGACACGCTCAAAACATAAACGGGTATCAGTTAGTTATAGAGGCAACATACTATTTCAATCATATACTGCTCTGCATTTATTCAATATCTTCAACTCTGCTGATGCAGAGAGAGAAATACGTTTGAGAATTGAGTCAAGTGCAGTGAAATGAAGGTCTTCTCTCTTTTTTCGTAATTCATGACTATTCATAGATGTGACGAGTATTTATTTGCTCTTCATTGATTGTTTGAATGATATACACATTACAGTTTGAAAATCGTTACATCAAGTTTAATTAGACGCCATTGTAAATAATTTACTTGGCTGAATTTTTCAACTCGGAACTGTCTAGGGTTAACTTGCAGAATATCCTACATATCAACTCACATAAATGCCAGAGAGAAGTAAAAAACAAAAAGAACAGCACACATATGTATTACAGCATTTAACAATTAGGGAATTAGGGAATCCATTCACCAATTTGCAGGTGTGCAATGTGTGCAATCTTGTGCCAATCCTCCCCCTTTTCTCTCTCACATCTCCTTTCCAATTCCGGGAATTCCTGCACTGACAGATACCGGAGCTTCGTCATGCCTCGTATACTATCTGGAATCGATGCTATCTTCAAACAGTCATGAATACTTAGATCTTCAAGGCATCTCAAATCGCCCAACCAGCCCGGCAGTGAACGCAGTTGAGGAAGCCCGAACAGGTACAAATATTGAAGCGAATCCGAGACGTGTTGCAACGCTTTCGGTACACACACCATATGCGGAAGATCGCTTAAGATGACAGTTTTAAGGCAGTTATTCAGGTTTTTAATCTCCTGTGGCAGCTCTACAACTTCCGGGCATCCATATATTCCGAGTTCCTCCAGAGCAGTGAAATGAACGAACCAAACTCGAGGCAGTGAATTGCAATTAACTATATACAAATTTGTAAGAGATTTCAGTGCTCTTAGCCCTTGTTCTGGCAGAGAGAGCTCGTCCGCGTTGGAAATATTCAGTATCTTGAGATTGGTCTGGCTTCGCAGTGTCTCGGTTGTAACAGCGTATTTCGTCTCGACACTTGTACTCTCCTCAAAGTACATGTCGAGCTTGGTAAGATTTTCCAGGTTCGACAATAAAGCCAGATTTGAGCTAGTGCATTTCAATTTCTTCAGCTTTTTGAGAGATGACGGCACTACTTTTAACGAAGAGCAATCTTCAATGCGTAGCTCCTCCAGATTTGAGAATGCTTCGACTGATTTATTCGTCACTTGTTCTTTTAAAAACCCTTTGAGATTCGGGAGGGACCATAGATACAGTGTTTTCAGAGAAGGGAACTGTCGTACACTTATTAATGGATCCTCGATAATGTACTCCACCTCCTCCGCAGTCGTTACCCACAAGTATTTAAGATGTGGTAGCTCTCCCAGCTGCGGAAGATGCAAAAAGTTCTTACAGCTTGATATATGAACATCGACTAATTTCTCCAGGGTCGAATTCGACATCCAATCTGGAAAATGCCTACCGTTGAATCCCCATACCCATAGAATTTCAAGATTCGGGTGAGGTTCTAGTGCTTCAAACACTTTTTCTTCCGACT